GGATTTTGACAACAATTCCCTCGTCGGCAACGCGAGAAGTGGCCCCAGGTAAAATTCCTGAAACAGTGTCCTTCGTAGAGCTGGGAGGGACACACTCACATACAGGCTGCTCTGAATATGGACGGACTGAGGACGTTTCTGTTCCTGCTGCTTGCCTCACACAGTATGTATTTGATGTTTTTGGAGGGGTGAATAATAACTTACTCCTCACAGACATTTGTTTTGTTTTTTCTAATAAAACGGGATATTTAGGAAAATCGTCTTCGATGTACTTGCTATGCAGTGAAGATTTCCCCACACAGGCTTAGTAATACTCTCTTATATATTGTAAATATATTTACACACACAAACAAATGTATTTACACAAATATGCATTTACATAACATTATATATATATATATATATATATATATATATATATATATATAATATATATATATATATATATAATATATGATATATATGTATATATATATATATATATATATATATATATATATATATATATATATATATATACATAACATATATATATGCATACATATGATATGTGGTGTGTTGTGTGTGTGTGCGTGTGCGTGTGCGTGTTGCGTGTTCGTGTGCCCGTTGTGCGTATGCGTGTCATGTGCAACCTGTGTACGCGCGCATGTGCGTGTGTATGTACGTATGAGTGTATATATAAATATGTATTTATATATGTATACATATATGAATATATATACATATATATGAAAATATGCTTATGTATATATATTCATAATTGATTATTATTAAAAAGATAACCATTTGTTCTCGCTTGCGCTTTATCTTTAGTCGAATTGCTGTATAGAGCTCTTTTTAAAGTAATGCTATTGAAATGCTTCGAGAAAGGCAGAAAAATAAAATTTTAACTCACAAGAACAAGAGCTTGACTAAACTTTTTTTTTTTTTTTTTTTGATGTAATACTAGGAAAAATTGTTCCTCTCTTGTTTTCAGAAGAAAGTGTTCTCATGGATAAACATATGCGCGATATATTTAGAAAAAGGTACATGTCGGTAAAAAAGAAAAGATTATAGAAGATAATGACAACGCTTTGCTTTAATTATGAAAACGAAATAAATGTGAATGAAATATTCCAAAACTTTTGCGCTCCGTCACTGTAGCCGTCGGGAGTGACCTTCACGATGCCGGGTGCACGGGACTATAGCACGTAGATTATCGTACAATAAGGATCGTTTACAGTCCTGGAAAATCGTCTCTGATTTAAGAATTGTGCATTAGGTTTAGGCTTCTTTAGCTGTTAATTTACGTTAAGATTTTTTTTTTTTTTTTAATTCTGTCTGTCTTTTTAATCCGTCTATTTGTTGGTGTTTACCTGCCAACTTATCTCTTCACATCCGTAGTGGTTTCCTCTCTCTCTCTCTCTCTCTCTCTCTCTCTCTCTCTCTCTCTCTCTCTCTCTCTCTCTCTCTCTCTCTCTCTCTCTCTCTCTCTCTCTCTCTCTCTCTCTCTCTCTCTCTCTCTCTCTCTCTCTCTCCTCCCTCTCCTCCTCCCCCTTCCTTCTCTCTCTCTCTCTTTCTCTCTCCTTTCTCTCTCCTTTCTCCCTCCCCCCCTCTCTCTCTCTCTCTCTCTCTCTCTCTCTCTCTCTCTCTCTCTCTCTCTCTCTCTCTCTCTCTCTCTCTTCTCTCTCTCTCTCTCTCTCTCTCTCTCTCTCTCTCTCTCTCCTCTCTCTCTCTCTCCTCTCTCTCTCTCTCTCTCTCTCTCTTCTCTCTCTCTCTCTCTCTTCTCTCTCTCTCTCTCTCTCTCTCTCTCTCCTCTCTCTCTCTCTCTCTCTCTCTCTCTCTCTCTCTCCTCCCTCCCCTCCTCCCTCCCTTCCTCCCTCCCTCCTCTCCCTCCCTCCCTCCCACCCTCTCTCTCTCTTCCCTTCTCTCTCTCCCTCCCCTCTCTCTCTCCTCTCTCTTCCTCTCTCTCTCTCTCCCTTCCCTTCTCTCTCTCTCTCTCTCTCTTCTCTTTCTCCCTCCCTTTCTCTCTCTCTCTCCCTCTTTCTCTCTTCTTCTCTCTCCCTCCCTCTCTCTCCCTCTTCCTCTCTCTCTCTCTCTTTCTCTCCCTCTTTCTCCCCCTTTCTCCCTCTCCCTCTCCCCGTTTCACTCCCTCTCCCTCCTTCTCTTCCTCCCACCCCACCCCCCTCTCATCGTCCTCCCTCATTGCCTTTCCAGACGCTGTGTATGTGCGGGGCCAGACGAACGTTCAGGATTTCCTCAACACCTTTTGTAACACGAATCGAAATAGTCCTGGCTGTTCTGTAAGTATGTACGATTCTTGTTATTTGGATTAGGATTTAAGCGGTGAATTAGTGGTTAGATGGGAAAAAATGGGGGAGAATATAGAGATTTTGGTAGATGTTCGGTTTTATGTGTAAGTTCGAGGATTTGGCTTTGACTTCGACTTCGAGGATTTGACTTTGACTTCGGCTTCGGTGTGTAGAGTTAAATAAGGTTAAGTAAGTAAGAAATGGTAAGG